AAGTCAGTTGAAACTAAATTATTGTTATTAATTTCTTTCACTTTCGTATTTCTTTACAATATAGGTGTTTTATACGTTCTTTTTATCTCTTTTCAGGTTGTATTAATATTCGATATAAATGGTGCATGTAGACGTCAAGAGTTGGCAAACATAACAACTAATGATGTCGAGAACCATGGGCGGGTTCTTCTTGTCCAGGTCAAAAACACAAAAAATAAAATTCCAAGGTCGTTCACATTACAGGGGCCTTTTTACGACGCAGTGAAGAAATACGAAGCGCTTCGTTCAACAAAAGCTAATTCCAACAGATATTTTCAAAATTACCAAAATGGAAAATGCACTAACCAACCCATTGGCATTAATAAAATGGGAACAATGCCGAAAGAAATTGCCACTTTCTTAAATTTGATTCAAGCACATGAATACACAGGGCACAGTTTCAGAAGGTCCTCGGCCACATTGCTCGCCGATTCAGATGCGGACTTATTGACACTAAAACGCCACGGAGGATGGCGGTCAAGCAATGTAGCGTAAAAGGATACATAGAAGACTCGATAAGAAATAAAGAAGAAATTAGCTCTCGCATTACAAGGAACATAAATTTGGAGTCAAGTGTTGACTTTCAACCATCTACGAGCACACACGCGTACATTCCACCATCGTCGCCGCAGCTGCAACCGCCTCCGCCGCCGCCACCGACTGCAGAACTCTGTGGTCTCGTTTCTCCTACTTTCACTCAAGAGAGTGAGAGAGAGACTGGGGAGATTGTAACTAATAATAATAACTTGACAACATTAAAAATTAAGTCTTTGTCTGATAGTTAATTGAATTAAGTTAATTAAAAAGTACTCATTGTTTTATTGCCAAAACCAACGTTTACCAGCCGTCAATGGTAAAAAAACCTAGCATCTACCAAATTCAAATGGTAAACGCCCTAAAAAATCTCCTGTCGGTTAATTCTAAGATGTACTGGTAATACCTAAGATTAACCAATATACGGGCTGTTACAGTAACATATACAATATACATAGCAAAATTATCTCCGTAAATTTAAAATTATCTCTCCAATTATCTCCGTAACATTCGTTGAACTGTTATAATATTATGACATATACAAGTAGTTGGTGCATTTTGTTATTTCAAGTAATCTTTTTTGCGAATGTCTAATGAGTCTAATTTTGATTTCCTTACATATCCATTTTTGCTGCAGGTGACTGTACAATTTGTAAAAATCCTTTAGAAAAATTCCTATGCTTTCATCAAAGAATGATTTTATTTTTATAATGTTCACATATTTCCCAGTCGTTTTTACGAGCGGACTCACCTTGCTATTATATTACGTTTTTACAGCCGAGCCATCATTGCGGACTATGCTTTTAGATATTAGAAAAGCTATTTTATGACTGGACAAGTCCAACTTCGCCTTATTGCTAAAACAAGCTGTAATGCCGAACTTTCAAAATACTTCTTTTCATTCGAGAATATACGGATTTATTTAAATTAGCATTTAATATAAAGTACATATTTGTAAATAAATATATAAAAGTAAATAAATAAAAGTAAAACCAAATAATGTGACCAATGTTTACAATAATAATGTGATAATAAATAATGTGACCAATATCTATTTCGTTAATGTTTATACCTACCAGTTTTTAACAACGCTCTTTCGAGAAATTCCTGTGTTGTAGGAAAAATAAAGAATTTCCAGTTTCTTTTTCAACAATGCCCCTGCAATCCTCCAAATAATTTTTACTCAGAGCTTCATTAAAAATGAAAATGGTCGAACTTCCAGACAAAAGATACCTTAAAGCCGATACCTAACACAAAAGTTTGTATTTAACTAAAGCAGTATTCTAAGAGGAAACCACACGTAATTATCCGAGGAGAAAGGGTAATATAAAGTTAGCGGCTTTTACCATGTTCAAGCGTTCAGCAAACTGCGGTTGTTTCCAGCTCTGAACTTTGAGGTAAACTCACTCCTTCGTAACACTTATCGTATGCGAAATTGGAGTGATTTGAATAATTCCAAGAAGAATTTATGTACACCATTCCATTACATTTTCAGATATCCGTCACGTTTATTTTCATCGTGCACGTACGTAGACTAGACCCATTCAAATATGTTTAAGCGAGCACACACACATACACGCACGCATATGGAAATGTAGGTTTAAAGGATAAGGGAGTAAATATCGAATTCTTAGGTTTTCGCGATTGTCGCACATAGGAAATGAAACTATTTTTCCGGATTTAAATCGCGTATATTTGTTTTTACAAACAAACCGACGTTTCGGGTCCTTTACAGGTCCCATGATCACGGTTGACTCTGATTCCTATACGAGAGTAAGGTTCCAAGATCTACCTAGGTACCTGTATAAATATCATAGAATGCCACTGATAGTGATACTAACTTACTTGCAGTATTTTTTTATAAGGCCGTTGAGTCCCAGTGCTGGGCAAAGGCCTCCCCTCTCTGTTCCCATTCCTCTCGGTCTTGGGCAACATCTGGCCAGTCCTTTAAAAAGGAATCAAGGTTATCCCACCATCGCCGACATGGTCTACCGTGTCACCTTTTTGAGTTGTAGGGCTTCTATTCTGTAGTTACCTTAGCCCACAATTCGCTCGACATGCGGCAGTAGACGTGACCAGCCCAGTTCCACTACAACTTGGCCGCTTTTGTTTGTGAGCTCTGCGTGGGTGACAGTATGCTGTGCTCTATATCTTGCTGACGCACCCCGAGTTTGAACTTCTGGACTTGTGTTAAAGACCAAGTCAGAGCGCCATATGAATATACACGGTAGTTTTAGTTAGTCGTTACTTTTTTGCTATACGTCACAAGTACCACAACAATTATGTTTTGTTATGCCTTGGTTTATATTCTGTAATTTATCGTGGTTCCTTAGAAATAGTATTGAACGTATAAACCGTGTCCAATTCTACAAAAAAGCCTTTTATTTTTCTTTGCTTTCGACTTCGATTAGAAGTTTCATTGTGAACATTCAGTGTACCTTGGGTAAACAACACGATTTACTGTCGATAAACATCAGCAGCCTTCTTATTTCAATATTGAAGAAAATGTTCCTCTACAGAACGTTTTGCCCCTGTTGTATGACATGTTATCAATGAATCATTTAAAAGTAAAAAGTAATGTATACTTTCATAGAAACCACAGAGGTGCGAAGTTTTTAAATTTATCTTTGTACATTATTCTTAGTCATACTAAAATAAAATACTTTTCTAGTTTCGCCACTGTTCCTCTATTGCTTGATCTTAGTTTATACGACTCGCCATACTCTATTCGTTGCAGCTCTCAAAAGGAGAGCAATTTATTTAATGGACCAGACTGTTGTTTCCATCACGATTTTCACAGCACATGAGTGGTTTACACTTGGTTTAAGTTCAAATATTCTTTGCGAACTGCATCCCGCAATATTCAGGACAAATTTATGATGTTTTCGTGTGAATTTGTTAAAAAAACATACAGTCACAAATAACCGCTATATTTTATAGATATGTAGAATATATCATTAGTTTCCAAAGCTCTTTTATTGCTCGTTTCATGGCTTTATGTGTCATAAATTTATTGAATTATACTGAGAAAACAAAAACAAGCCATCGATGCAGGAAAACGAGACAGTAGGCTCGGAAACGATCGCCCTATCATATATCATTTCTTACGACCAACCAAATATGATGCTATGACATTTTATTTATAAACCGTAGATAGAAACATCGAGCGCACAAATCCATACTTTGAGGTGGATGCGAAAACTGGAAGAATGTGGAAGAAAGCGGCTCGCCAATTGCATAGTACTTTGGCTGCATGACAACGATGCATCCTTCATGCACGTACCACTGCGGCGGTTTATTCCACATTATTTCTCGTGGTGCGCGGTTAATATTCAGTCGGTGTCCGGTATACAACCCGTGGGAATACAAATTCCCTACATTTCTAGTCTAAGTATGAAACGCTAGGCAAATGTCTCCAAGTAAAAGTCAGCGACAGCTCAGAATTGGAGCCGTAGAGTTTATGATAATATTTTAATTGAACCTGTTGAGTGGAGTTGTTGTAACGAACATTAAATACGATTTACAGTTCACGGTGCATGAAATTAAGAAGTGACCTTTAAGAGTCTGTATTACCTCAACTCGAATTCTAATTTTTCCCGTACTAATACGGCTCATTTTGCTTGGGTAGAGCGGTAGAGACACTGGTTTTATTAGAATTTTTTTTCACAAACGAAGTTTAAACAGTTTGCAAAATGTAAATCGTATACTATATGTGCTTTGTTTAGTTCAGTTGATATAAAAAAAACATAGATACGTGTAAAGTACCTATTGAATACAGCTGTTTTCTTGTATAATTTCGATGTAAGTTTGTGTTTTTTTAGGAATCGTGATTTCACACCATATTGTAATCAGTGTATATCCTCAATTTTACTACATATTTTTTGCAAAATGATATATTCAACACTTTCACTGTTATGCGGAATCAACCAAAGCCATTAGCATAAGCCATAGACTCTTAAATAACTATGAGTTTAAATGCCTATATATTACCTACATTCGATTACGGTTTTGTATTGAATATAAGTGAACGAATTAAAATCCTATAGATTTCAAGACTTTCGTTTTTCACTAAATTATTTTCACTAATTACATGTTGCTTACCACGGTTGTCTTTTTCTTTTTATACCAATATTTCATAATTAGATAGTTACACGCTCCATGGTTAAGGGTTGACACAGACAACGATAGTGATAAGAATTGAAATCCTTTTTATTTTTTATGCAGACTATTTTTTACTCACTTTGTTCTTACACTAAACGTGAATAAATACTTAACTACCTATACTTGGCTCAATCTATATGTATTTGCAAATAAGTAAGTATACCATTTGCGTACTTAATATTTCCACATAGTAAATCAATATTTTAAAGACCTTGCCTAAGCACTGAAACTTTCCATAAAAACGTGCACCCCTTGAAATTTTTCGTGAAGAATTAATTTATAGGCGAAGTTGGCAACGCAAAGAATTAATATTTAATCGTAATTCATGTCGGGTCCCCGAGGGCGTAGGGGTGCTCGGCATTTGTCTTGAGGTAGTAAATTCCATCTTTCCTGAAACCAAACAATAGACGTTGATCTCCAAGATTTAAACTAATTTTGTTACTGTTTTACAAACGAGTGTTCTTTGTTTAATTAAACATAGAAGCGACGAAAGTTAACCATGTTCATGAATACTTAAAATTACTCTTTTGTTGTTTCAAGTCGTTGGATTCGGACGGAGACTATAATTTGGGAGGTATGGGGTGACCCACTGTTTATAGACGAGAGAGAGTTCTGTTGCTTCAAAGTTGGAGTTTTTATTGTTGTTCTATGCGGGAGTTTGTATTTTAAGTATACGGTATATAACAGAAATGAAACATTGTAGTAATTAAAACAAAGATAACGACGTCTGTTAGCAGTGAAATATTATCCTTTTGCCAGTTATAAACGTAACTTTTGAAGTATCACAGTTCACAGAAATGTGGTAAGCACTTAAAGAGATAACATTATAAATTCAAATCCATACCCGTAATGTATATCAAAACCGCCCATAACTAGAGTTTCTCCGGTGCCTTTGCAGGAGCCCTGGTAGTAGATCTCGTCGTAATCCGTGCACCGCACGGCAGTGAAAGGGACATGGGATATGATGGACTCTGAGAAGAACATATGGGCTCTGTTGTGTGCACATAGACCTGTGGAATATAAAAATATCGATCTTCGTTCATTGCTAAATAAAATATCAACGATATCGCTTTCCAGAATTATTATTTCTTGAAATTTTAACAATGACGAAATCAACAAGGCTAATAAGAAAATCCGTCAGTCCTTATAATAAACATTTTATTACTATACACAGACGTAATCGACATTTTTAGCGAAATTGAGATATTAACATATCTCGAAACAGCGAAACGAGATCTACAGCCCCCTATAAGCGGTTTTTTTATACATCTGCGTAATTAACATTTTTTCGAAGAAAAAACTTTAAGTGCCAATATGAATATCTCGAAAGTTACCAAAATGTAAATGCGTTGTTTATGACAAGGAGGACAGGTAGGGTCGTTTTTGCAAACAATAAACTGCTCTTCGTACTTTCAAATTCGGTGTAGGTTGAAAAATGCTAAGTCATTTAAGAAATTTTTGCAACATAACTTATTATATTTGCTTAGGTATTTACTAAAAACAAAATACACTTAGCGTAGATTAAAATATCTAGCTAAACATGTATAAGTAAAATTTTATCTTAATTGGATTTTTTCTCAATTTACAAAACAATACGGAAGTTGTGTGTAATAAAAGGAGACGAGAATGACTGCTTATTTAAGTGTAGAGGCTTAATAAAATGCAGCATTTAATTTGTACGCAATATAGCCTGGCCGCTACCATTAAAAATAGCCAAATAATTTAGTGCGACTTGGTTTCCAGAACAACTTTAAGTTGACCTAATCTAGCTTATATCCAAGTTAGTATAAAAAATATGTCCACCTCGAATATCATATCCGCAACCAGGCTGTCGTATACCGCCGTTAGGATAAAAGTCAATATGTCCAAGGGGTGACATGAACCCGAGGTATCCTCCGCATGTGTGGATAACTTCCACGTGGCGTGCGTCATGTTTGTCCAACCGAGCGTCTTTGTTGCCCAGAGTGAATAGAGGATAGGCGGGATCGAGGCCTAGAATGTATAGTTTTCAGTTACACTTATTTTCTGGTTACTGTAGATATTATCAAACCAATTATAGATACAGGAAATGAAACTATTTTTCCGGATTTAAATCGCGTATATTTGTTTTTTCAAACAAACCGACGTTTCGGGCCCTTTACAGGTCCCATGGTCACGGTTGACTCAGTCAAACGTCGAAACGTCGGTTTGTTTGAAAAAACAAATATAGGCGATTTAAATCCGGAAAAATAGTTTCATTTCCTATGTGTAACAATCGCGAAAACCTAAGAACTCGACAATTATAGATACATTATGTAAATATTGGTGTTGTTCCATATAAACATTTATTATTTATTTACTTTATTTTTGTTTTAAACAGGTAGGTCTATAAATTTCTTAAACGTATGTTTTGTTCACACCTGAGTTGGTCCCGAACATGTCATACAATTACATATTACGTATAATAAGTTTATATTACTAAGTTTTATTTATATTTAACAAACCTGTAATTGTGTCAATTGGTCCTTTTTTCACATACGCTCCAGCAATACCAACTACGTGAGCACCAAGACTGTGACCAATAAGGTGCACGTCATCCATAGAAACGCCCATCTCTATTAAGAAATTCAGGAACTGCGTCAAAAGTCGTCCGACCATCGCTACATTGTAACTTGCCAGGATGTAGTTGACATTGGCTGCGGTGCCCCAATCCACAACTATTATGTTTATATCACTGACGTTAAGATAAGCTAGGACAAAATAACTTGTAATATTAATTAGACACAAATTCTTAGGGCTCCTTTAATTTCGACGCTTATAGAAGCGTTGCAGTGGCACCACTGTGGCGCTGCAGGTGCGCCACTACTATTGTCATACAATATTTAGAAGTGCAGTTGTAGCGCCACGTTGTGACCTTGATACGCGCGCTCCACTTTTGCAGTCACAATTACTGAACTAAAAATTGCAGCATTTCTACAAGCATCTAATCTGAAGGCACCCGTATTACTGATCGTTGTGCCTAACATTACTCCATCATTGACACCTCACCAGTTTCATTGCCAATCAATATTATTCTTTAGCCAAAGGTCATTGTGTATAGCCAAGAGATCATTGAGTACAGCTAAGAATCCAAGACAAGAATGTATCGGCTTTATAACGACATGTCTTTGAAAAAGTCCGGTTTGGAAATTTTTGATCCAAGATCTAGTTACTTTACATGATGTATCAACATGATTACATTCTGGACATAACTTTGTAATATCATATATACTTAACTGTTATGTAATATGGTTGTTATCTGTTTTGTTGTCTACATAATGAATAAATCCATTACATCGTAAGTGGCATCGAGTGGAATTTAATTATAAGTGTAAAGGGAGACGTGTCGTTTTCGGATATACGTATTCGTGCTAAACAAATATTTACCTTCTTTAATGGATTCAGGCATGGGACTGTACCCATGATTAAGCCAGCCATGAGTCAAAATCTTAACTTTGTTGTCAAAATCGAAATGAGAATTATGTAGAGACGAGGAATCATTGATGTGTAGGACTTCAGGGTCAAAAGGGTTTCGCCTGAAAACAGAGAAATCAGAAACCTTAAAAAAGAAAATACACATATATCATCATATTTCTCTTATGGCAACAATTTTGCTAGTAAACGTTGCGTGTCGCAGCATCATGCACTTAGCTTTTTATTTCCACGGGTGTGAAACAACTACAAATACAATATTATGATTCATATGATTTGATGAAATGTGATTGCCAAATTAAATTTACAACCTCACCTGGTGAATAGTCGGAACTGCACATCAGCCTCATAAACCCAGCCCCAGAGACGCGTTTCGTTAGGCAGTGGCCCGTACGTCTGCACGCTGGCCAACCACACTGGATCATACGGTGCCGGGGCATCTAATTTTGCCGCCGACACTACGTAAGAACTTAAATTAATAAATGTGTGAAACGATTACACCAACATACATATAATGAGTACTGCACACTACATATACAGAATAAGTACTGCTCCAGTATAATTCAATTTGTTGTGATCTTTTTACAGGAAGTCGTCAATTGATTAGAATTCCTTGTACCCCAGAAAACTCATGACCAGTGCGGCCATATATGGCCAGGCCAAACAGGCAAAAATTTTAATGTTTTAAAATTTTAAAATTTTAAATTATCTATGCATAAATTATGGAAAAAAATCCCCTTAACCTTGGATATTCAGACATTCGTAGGCAAAACAATTCCCCGGGCGGCGTCGTGGTGAATGTTCACTGATCCCACGGCGCCGACTCAACCGGCGAGAGGGAAACCCGGGGGGTTTTAGTGGGGTAGGCCCTCCAGTCTGGAGGGAGAGTCCCCACATAACCCCTGAGTCTCCCTGGGCTCAGGGGTATCCATAAAGATTTCCCCCCGTCAAAAAAAAAAAAAAGAAAAGCAAAACAATTCCAGTATTCTTGAATACGCGACAATTTTCGGAACTTAGCTAGTTCCACACAATAGCCACAACCACACTGCCTCTACTGTGTCAGGACTATTCCAAGTTCCGTTGAAAATTGCAATAATTTAAGAGGCTGCTCTCCTAGCATTATAATTGTTGTTCGGTCAGTCATCGATGGAGGCCACCTATGTCCTAAAATGTCTGGAACACGCTTCGCTCATCATCATTATTATTGCATGCGCGCCTGTGTTGTATTTGATCATATCACTACTAATAAAAGAAATACAATGAACCATTTTTTGCCAAACTTCCAAAAGGTTCAGAAAAAAATTAGGACTTGCTAATCTAAATTGCTGGGCCATAGCCTTGCCCAGCCCACATTCAAATCATAATTGCGCCCACACGTGGAAGTAGGTACTTTTAAGTTGCCCATATGCAGTTGCCCATATTAAGTAAACGTAATTACCTAGATATTTGAACATAGGTGCAATATACCTAATTAGCGATTAGAAAGGTAAAATGCGTCATAGTAATTGTGCACGTTCCATGCCATGTAATGACCCGAGTCAAGGAATGAGGATTCTAGATGTTATCTTCGTATTTGCATTCTAACGGGACGACAACCTATTGTCTTGCTGGGCCGTATTAAAGCAAACTGCAGCAATCAGTTGGTCTAATTTGCTTGAAAACTATAATACATATTTTGTTAAGGAATCTTCGACTGTTCACTTAATCATAAAATTTAAAGGAAACTATATACATAAAATGTAACTACTACAAAAACATTTGATCGGTTTGATTGCCCGATGAGACAAGCAACTTTGAAAGTCTTTGAATGCAGTATTACTAACTTTCGAAAATGAATTAATGTCTCCATACAATGTTTAAAATTCTTTCCCTCCGAGTCCTATAGCCATGGAACGCTCAATGTATAATGAATTTTACAGAGAGTTTAATTGTTAAAAAACTAAAACCTCATATTAACGTAAGCACTTGAAAACATTGCTATTGAGATACAATACCCAATCTCTTAGATTACTTAGATCGATCAAGATCTAAGCACGTACTTAAATACTAGATTAATTAGTCTTTAAAAAAGCACTGAACTGTGTCGTTAAAATTATAAAGCACATATTGACACATCACACACTACCTAAGTAGGAACTCCTTATCGTACCTACTTATTTACCATCTTTTTTTATAATAACTAAGTGACGGGACGAAAAAGTCGTGCGCCTGATGGTAAGCGACACGCCTGTCTATAACAGTTGCAGTACCATTCAGAGCTTTAAATCACCAAAATCTGAGGGGCACTGCCACTACGCCCGACACCCTGCGACATAAGTTGTCCCATGTGCTTGTGATATCACCAGCACCCTTACCTTTCGAAACCGGAATGCAGTAACAACACAATACTGCTCAGAATACTGCTTGGCGGCAGAAATAGGTATGGTGGCAGTACTTCTCTAGACGAACTCTTTCACAAGGAGCTCTACTGCTACTAAACATCTGCCTTAATGCATTTTATGATACCCACTTTAGCAAGTAAATAGGTAAGTAACCATTTAAATGTACCTAAAGTAGAAAATGAAGCCTTTGCTTTCAATAGAAATAGGTTATAAGGTACAACAAGTATACAGTTTTTAACTTCTTGTATAACTTACCTAATAATTATTGGTACGTAAATAATAATAATAATAATAAATAACGCGCACATACTCATATCCCCGCACTAGGGAAACCCTGTATCCCAGGTGCCATGGACACACACAAAGTCAAGCACAAATTACACCCAAGCACAAGAGAAATAAATGTAGGCCATACAAATATTTCTCCCTACCCGAGAATTGAACCCGAGACCTCTGCGTGGCAGTCCAGCATGATAACCGTTCTGCCACAGAGGCAGTTATGGTGATTATTAAATGTTATTTTTGCTCGAAGTTACGTTTATTTAGTCGCAGACATGTGGTCTGTGGTCGAAGATTTTGTTAACTTGGATGCACCATAACAATTAACTATAAAAAATAAATGGATAAATCCAATACGAAAACCACAAACGCACCTGTAGAAATGGCAAACAACAACAAAATCATTCCAGCTTCGTTTCACAAACTTCAGACTTACAGAGAGAGAAACCACCTTTCCACGCATTGGACAAAACTTTGTTACACTTTGAATGCATAGGATCGCTCATTTTGAAGCTAAATCTAATTGGTGTACCGTCGGCAAGGACTTCCACATTTTTACTGACCGCACAAGACAAAGATTGAATTTAAATTTGCGTAGCGGTATATTGGACTCTATTAGGATGCATTGGACGGTCTGTCTGTCCATCGATCATACTAACTGAGCCGTATTGATTGTTGGTCAAGCGTGATTCAGAACCTGTTAAGGTACCAATACTATGGTGAGGCGGGATATCTTACACCTAAAACGTGGTCGACAGTAATTACCTACTGCTTAATTTCTGTTCAATGACGGTACTACTTATTTAGTTGAACACATATAAATATACATATGCTTAAAGTGTCTAACTTCATTTTATGTTCTGCAGGCTCTCTACTTTAATAAATATAAAATGGTTAAGATAAATAGTTGAATATATTTTCATAATTACGTTTTTGTTACAAAATAGTACTGATTACTGCAGTGAAGCACATGTATGGCCCGAGACGATGCTGCTCGAAGCCACTTCACCCACCGCTGCGCGTTGGTATAGATATTGTTGAGGAGTTCTTTCATGAGAAGATCCTGGCAGCTCTATCAAGTCGTATCGTAATACTGTATCTATATGTGTAAAAAACATTATTGTACCACAAAACCATAATATGTTACACTTATGTTATGTTATACTTACATAATATGTTAACAACAATATCTGAATAAGTGTATGTAACAACAATATCTGGATATGAACTTTGGTAGTTAACCAAAGTTCATATCCAGGCTGTTTACCTTTAAGGAGTTCCCTCATATGGAGACGATACCGGTTGGAATATCAAGTCGAGGATACCATATCGCTATTTTGTCATCAGATTTATGTGTGTATACTCGTAGGTACCCAGGTACTTTCATTTTCCGGCGGTCACAAGTACGTATTTAGTTACTATAATTATATTATATACATAACTCTGGCAAATGTCAACCTAATCAACGGGAAGAGGATGAAAAATTAAATACAAAATTTTTGTAGCGAGACGCTGAAGACACTGAAGATTTAAATTCAACTCTATGCAACTTATACTAAGAACGGTCCAAAATTCAAAGTGCCAAGCTTTACATACTCTTGACTATGCTCTTGTCTTACCGTTATACCTTTGGTCCGAATTGTGGGTAACACAATGATCTTATACACTATATAAGATCATTGGGGTAACAATGGCCTAGTTACGATGTATACAAATAGCACTGTCAAATAAAAGATTCATTTCATAATGAAATTGTTTGTAACGTTACTGGTCTGCCACACAGAGATCCCGGGTTCAATTCCCGGGCCGGGAGAAATAGTTATATGGCCTACATTTATTTCTCTTGTTACTTTCAGTGTAATTTTATAGCCTGGCAAAGCTCACTCTGCTAAAAGAGAGCACACATCTCTCCGAGAAGTGTAGCTAAAAGCAAGTGTCTTGAGCATTGAAAAACCCTGATATCTGCCTACAGTGCCAAACACTGTAGAGAATATCTGTCATTGGACTGGAATAGAATAAGAATGCTAATAGCCCTAACAGGGCAAATATTCGGTAGAGAGAGTGTAGATAATGTAGATTCTACAACTAAAATGAAACTCTTGTTCATTTATTTACCCAATGCTACCCCTAATGGGCGTACTAAGTTCCATATTGGGAAGGCACATGCCACAACCAGAGGACATTAAATTTGTCAGAGCCAGGAAAGTCCTGCAGTTGTTCAATGCTGTCGGCCTTGGATCTGCACTGTAATTAGTGGTGATCACAATACATCAGTCTATGGTGGCAATGATGAGAGGATGCATAGGCCCTAAATGAAGCCACCCTAATAATAATAATTTATTGGAATATCAGTAAGCAACGACGTTGATAAAATACTAAGATAAAATGACAACTTCCTTAGCCAATAAAATAGAAAAACACAAATGTCGTGACATTTGATAACATCTGATAGATTTCCGATTCCGATTTCCTTTATTTTCCACCAGTCCTGTTTAAATTTCCTATATAATTTGCCTTGAGTATTTTTAGATATTATAAAATAATCACTGTGTTATTCAAACTTTGATTCGCCGTTCGACAATGTCTTTACTTACGGAGAATACGAAAATATTGAAATTTTTAGAATTGGTTGGTCGACTCAAGGTAAAAGTTTTGCTTGATGTTTAGTCGCTTCGTTTTATTGAAATGAAATTTAATAAAGGTTACATTTTATTGCGTCATTTGCAGCACGAGAAGAGAACGGGATGGGTGTTATGTGATATCGCCGAGTGCGAATCAATCGCTGGACACATGTATAGAATGGGCCTGATGACTTTCCTGCTCACTGAAGAGACTAATACTACAAAGTTAGACAGATTCAAGTGCCTTCAAATTGGTACGTGCTGTATCAAAAATTTTGCAGCTAAGCAGTTCTGGAATATTCACTGCAAAGTAATAATTTCCTAGCAGAAATGTTAAGTGTATTAATTTCTAAGCTACAGTACGAAGACACTTGTTCAGTCTCAGTAATTGTCACAAGTTGTCCGCATACTATCTTCCTATACTTACATTACTCTTATCAAAATTGCAGCACTAGTCCATGACCTCGCAGAATGCATAGTAGGAGACCTTACTCCTCATTGTGGAGTCTCACCTGAGGAAAAGCATCGGCGAGAGGATGAGGCCATGAAAATTATTACAGAACTCACAGGTCTCGCTGGAAATACAATGTATGAACTTTATAAGGTGAATAAGCAGTTTAATTCTTTTTAAGATATATTTATATAAGGTGTTTCAAAATGGTGAGTCTTCTTCATTGACTTACAATTATATGGACATGGGGTCCGCGCTAAAAAGTGTCCGCACTTGTAAGGCGCTAAAATCATATACAGAGTGCCAAACTCCGCTTTAGTCTTCATTTGTTCTACTGACAGCGCGATACTGCGATGACATTACAATAACGAATAGGTTGACTTGGGACATTTTTTTCGTGGTTTTTGTATTAGACCCGTCATCCATTTATTTGTAAGTCAATGGTCTTCTTCTTCCTTTTTAAATGTTATGGCTCCATCAAAATAAGAATTGTGAGTCAGTAACAACTTATAGCTGCTGTGACAAAAATGTACAGTAGTTGTTTATTTACTATAATCAATTATTCAACCCTTTTATCCCGTCACGTATCCTACTGAAGTATGTGTTTTGGAACAAAAGAATTTAGAAATTTTTAATTTACAAAATTGTGGATGAAAAGACAGCTGCATGTTGAAGACACTGTGGTTTTGGGAAGCAACAGTATCAAAATCATTAGGCAAAACAGGGAAATTGTATATGGTTGCGTGAGAGGTTAATATACCCACCATTAACACTTAATAATAATGCTTTATTTAATTCAAAATTAATCATTTTCCAGGATTATGAAAATCAAAGTTCACCAGAGGCCAAGTTTGCCAAAGATTTAGATCGCTATGATATGATACTACAAGCGTTTGAATATGAGAAGCGTGAAAATGCACCAAGAAAATTACAAGAGTTCTTCACTGCAACTGAAGGAAAATTTGGCCACCCATTTATTCAAGGGTTAGTTAAAGAGCTGTATAAACAAAGAGATGAGTTTGAAAAGACTCATCTATTAAATGGAAATGCATAATATTATATACTAAATTTAGTTTTATCTTTGCTTGGCTATTTTCAAGGACATTGTAAATAAAAGCAAGCATACCTATTATAGTTATAGAGTACTATACTTGTCCCGTGAAAATGACACATGGCAATAAATAGTTCAATTCTGATTTTAATTTAAGCTATTATGATTGTTATGTATTTTTAGTTATAATGAAAATATTGTCATTAGCTACTACTTATGCCCAAAATACAATAACCGCAAACCAGATGCATGTAACATAGATATATTGTTTAATATTTATTTTGCTTTATTCATTATATAGCTTTATTTTTCATGACAGTTTGTATTGTCTACCACATAGGTCTACCAAAGCGGAATATGATTTATGCAATCCAACATGACACTAAGGCTTATTTGTAAAATACTAACAACCTCACAGAAGTATATTACACGCCTACCGTTTAACTGAGTCGGTTTTGAGGTAGCTGAGTGGTGTAAGAGGAGTGTCAGTTTACGTAACAGTACTGTCGCAGTGCACATTGGATAATTTCAACAAGATTTTACGACGGTATTCAATAATAAGTTGATTGAAAAACTGACTAACTCAAGGCGGTAGACCTGTACTAACATTATAAACAACATTTGTCTCATGACTGTTAATAATTCATTAGATTTTACTTTTGTACAAAAATATGAATATTTAAATTAACCGCTCTAAACGGTGCAAAATTCTGTGGAGTTTGTAAAAGAATGTGTTACGTTATCCGGAACTTAGATGACGTTCTTTTATATAATACATAATATGTGAGGTGTAACGGAAAGGTTTCATCAATACAAATGGATTAAATATTGTACTTTATGTACAGAACTCAGCACATCAAGCTACATGTTGCCGGATCTTGTTCTGCTCAGGAACCGAAATAAAACTGTATATAGCTTGATGTGCTGTTGACTGTACATTGATAAAAGATTAAAACAAGCATGAAAAAAGTGTTCGTTTTATAAAACTAACCTGTAACAATTTGTTAACTTCCATTCAAAACAACATCTGTGTTCCAGCTCTAATAATTCGTAATTCTATTCATTCTTTCTATCTCTAGACTACTGTGCGCTTGGAATACGTATATACATGCCAAAATGTATTTTAATTTGCATGTGTTGTGCAACTGTTCATAGGATGCGCGGCGAAGATCAAAAATGTAGCCTATAGCAATTACAACACATTAAAGGCTGCCATTTAGCACAGCTCTTTGTTGTTAACTCTATTACAGTTTATATCCATAAACTAATTATTCCCCTTCGTATTACTATACCCGTCCATTACACCCTGTTTATACTGGAACATAATAATTTAGATTTACCTTAAAGCAAATGTGATTTTTAAATATTAGAGTATGATTTAATTACGTAGGTATACTATTGATTATAATGTACACAATATATCTGTGGCTTAGTAAGAAGTTCTTAAGTAAGATATATATATGTACGTATAAATATAAGTATATAGATATATTTGTAATCTATTAGATACTGAAGTCGTCAGAACAGATAGTCACCTACACTTATTAACCACGTATTAACTAATTGATTATGTAGTTAACACAATTTATTCTTGTAATAGTTTTCATTTATGTATGGGTAGCATTGTCCTAAATAAGTCAATGGTAGGTACTACACTTGTGCCTCCAAAAGCTAGGCGTGAAAGTTGTTACTGTACAAACCATTATTAATAAAAAACTTGCATATTAATTGAAAACATGTTTGTAGAGATTGCTCAAATTCATTTGTCTGTGTTAAATAATATTTTGTCTCATATACAAAATTAAAGCAGTGATAAAATTTGCTTTTTTTATCTGTGTCTCTCTTATTGTCATTACCATAGAATTAGAACAAAATATTGCATATTCAGCGTCTCACGATGAAACTCAACTGCAAATAATTCAATTTAGCGTGGTGTACCTGTACAGTGTACAGGTTATATGTGCCAAAGAGAATGCAATCACTACGTTTATAATATACGAGCCCTATACCCCACCTAGGGTGGAGTCGGGCTCGGCCTGTTGCGCGTGATCGGTTTCAGATTACGGGGTGTGCTTGTGCTCTTCGGTGGCAAAGCGATTAGTATTTGAAGGTCCAGCCTCCGTAGCATGACTACGCGTGATAGTCGCGACGCGCACGTTAAAATTGAAATAAGCGCGCGCTATTGGCTATCTAAATTAGATCAGCCCCCGTAGCATGCCTACGCATCATAGTCGCGACGGGCGCGATAAAATTGAAATAAGTGCGCGCTATTGGCTGTCTCAATCCAATCCTCTAATCTCAAAAATCTCAAATCCTCGATTTGAGCCAATTTATGAAACAAACATTTTGAAGTTGGTTCTGGTTAGGGTATTCTGGGTATTGCCCTCAAAGTTGTCGTTACTCTGGTACCTACTCATTGTACAGGAAATTCCCTAGTTTGAGATCAGTAATTTGGTGTGACTCTGGCATAACTTCCAAGAAAAAAGAATCTAACAGAGAGACGATCGAGATACAACAATGCTATAAGTATCTCATTCCCACTACATCGGTAAGTATGCCTTACATTTTGAACATTTGTAAGATCTTATACTGGTAATACAGCTTTCATAGACTATCCACGAAAGGTGGTGTGCGGACGCTTCAGGCTTCGCTCTTCGCTAGTCCTCGGCCTAAGGCCTCGGCACTTACTTCTAAAAAAAGTAACGTAGCTCATAGCTGATTTCAGCTGAATAACAGCAAATTTCTATCTGGCGACATATTGATTTTTTAAACTCAAGTTTAATTTTTGGGCTAATGCATTGACTTACAATTATAAAGTCAACGTGCTAATGACAATAATTTCCAATCTTTTTATTATATTGTGTATTTTTTCCTAATTGACACACCGATTAAAATTTGATACATATGTAAGCCAAGCCAAATATTTATTGTTGAATACGAGGTGGGTTTTATATAATAATAAATATTTATAATTTATTCAATTAAACGACTCATTCAACACTGAAGCATTTCTCAAAAGTTGAACGGAACTATAGGCCAGGGATCCCAACACAACATAGGTATACAGGGTGTCCCGGAATGCGACGTCAAGCCGGTACGGGGTGATAGGCCCGGTCATAACCGTTATCAGAAAAATCCAATCAATAACTCTCAACATTGAAATTTTTGCTAATTTGCTTGTATTGAAAACTATAAATTGTTATAACGTTAAAATATCATGTAACAGTCGATGCCCTTAGATACCTGACCCCTAGCCAACCTTGTGGTTCTGGAAGCCTTTCTTACGTGTAGAGGAATTCCAGATTGTTAATAGAAATTTGTATTTATTTAATAGTAATAAAAATTAAATTGACTTAAACACTTTTGTACCACGTCATTCTCTAATAATGCAATAAGGAAGTCGGACCAAAATGAATTCTACTGCTCAATAGTTAAAGGTCAAGTTTGTTTAACACCTTTCATCACACTGGTGCATACTTTAAAAAAAGTTTAACAAGGTTGTTTAATGCGCAAAATACGTACTGAAGTATGCTTGGCGTATCGTCAGAGCACAAAAAAGCCTATTCCAAAAGGTTCTAGTTTTTCTAATGTTTATTTTCAGTTCAAAATAAATTCAAGAAATCGACACTTGGGGGTGTCAGCGCTCTGGGTCGACCCTACCTGGTATGACCTTTTGCGAGTAATAAGCCCCTGATGTTTGACCTGTATGAGCTCCTAGACTATAACAATTTTCGTTTCCTAGTAAATGGGACTATGGTTGTTTTTTTCGGCAATCATTGATTATTTGCCGTTGTCCTGGCACCTTGCCTCACAGTGTTGAGGACTGCTCGTACAAAAGATGTTCGAGCCTAGCAGCCTCCTCGAACTGTGATCACTTGCTCCTCCGTATAGACCCGTGCGTCAATTGAGCCAATCAACGAGTCCAAGGTGGACAGTGCTGTCTCTATGGATTTCCCACTTTGATAGGCGCATTGAGTACGGTAATCAGGACTTATGTTTATTAGGGAGAAGGACCTAATAGATTGTCTAACCTTCGCCTTTACCTTTAGCAAGATTGAGATTGGGCATGTTGGTGTGGAGAAATTCTGTCTACCTTCACTTCTGGATAATATACATTGCTCAAAAAATATTACATCACACACTTAACATTTAATCTTGCTAATATAATAGATGTCACACTCTTTAAATTGAAGGCCTGTTTCTATTACAAAACAGGGTTTGAATTTGAATCAAAAGCCTGCTGTACTTTATACTTTTATTGTACAAAAATGGGCAGTTGAATAGTATAAATACAAACCTATTCAGTCAAAAAAAACATTCAGATTTACATAAATGCTACAAGTATGGAGACAATTCCACTCATAATAAACCACTCATTGTAACAATTCAGGTTCGTACATAAGGCTTGTTTTAATATATAATATAATGGTATTATAATACCTTCTATAAAGAAAACCACAGCACTGTTTGTGGGTTGTTTATTATTAGGCTTTGTTGAAACTGAAATTTACTTATTTCTTATAAAGAGGATTGCTTCGATATCACTTGAAAATTTCAGCTCACAGCAAATTATTTTTATTATTATACATAATAGAATGGAGCAGTCAGCTTGTATATTTTATTAGTTTACAGATTGTTTTTGATTATTTCCTGAGGCTTGTTCCTCTTTTTTTCGTTGTTTCTCTCTCATTAGTTCTGCATCCCTAGAACAAACCAATGGACTTTAACAACAATTATAATAACAGCTTTAAACATTAAAAACACATTAATTTACTTCAATTACTAAAGGTTATTTAAAGTTAACTACTACCTACATTTTTATTATTTTCAGAAACAACTTAATTTTATTTTATTACACAAAAGGACTAATTTAATTTATTTTCTTTCAGCAGAAACCAAAAACAAACTATACTATATATAACTTTATTATTTGGTTTGTTTGTAAATTAAACAGCAATAGCATGGACCATGAAACGGGGCACAATACCTATGTTTTCTCTCAGATAGGGAAAGTCCAGTTTTGTCATTAGCATTCTTCTTCTTCTGCTGCTCTTGTTGCTTCTTTTGATTCTTGGCGCGAGCCAAATCCCTCTGATTACCACCTGGTGTAAACAATAGACTAGTTTAATGTGGTTATGCAAAGCATCACATTAATATAATTGCACCACAATTTGGCAGGGGGCTTATCCTATTCTATTGGAGGTGTCAGGCATCAGATTGATGGATCTTCACCCAGATGCCTTTTGTTCAAACTCCCATGCGTATTAACTACGCCACAGGAGTAAAATCACACATTTTGATTAACATGTGACCTAAATCTTTATTATACCTATCTATATAAATCTTTATTTATAAAACTTAACAATGTCTTTTATAACTATCTAGTCGATGCTTCTACAAGCGGAAATAATCAATTTTACTTCACAAAAAATAGCGTCACATGAAATGACCTCACGACCGATGTTGTCATACATTCCGAGCAATCTAGAACGTTCCAAATAAGCACTGCGTCATATAGAACCACAAGTGACCACAACTTGCGAAGCGCTGAGAACATAAACAACATCGAAAAAATGAATAGTGCACAAACTCAACAAGGTATCAAGCGATGATGTAAATGAGGCTACTTACGAGTCATCGTTGTTTGTTAATATCTAATGCCAGCAAGGTAAGACGCGTTGCAAAATATGGTGTTAAAAGTACGGACGATACGCTATTCCGGCCGAAACCTGGGACAACGCACCGCCCTCTCTTCTACCAGTATGAAATAACTTTGAACACAGTTAAAAGTGAAATGCTGGCTTTTAATAGAAAGCTATTAGCCAGCCGTCTTTCATAATCCAACCTCAATCAAACAAATAGATGCAATATGGCGGCCAAAAGCCATAGACGAACTCTGTCAACTAAACACTTTTTTGAAGAATGATTTGTGGCGGCTTTAGTCGCCGCCTATTATCACCGGCTCGCTGTAGCAGTCTCTTTGGACGAGAGTCGCCAATGAGAGTATCACACTTGCCAAAAATATTCGATAGTGTTATAATTTTATTTTAACCTTAGAGGATGGAAAAAAATCAAATTATGTATGTTACGTGAATTGTCACATGTCAGCGATTGGAAATTGTTTGAATGTTTTAGTAAAAATTAATGTATGAATTCACGAAGCCGTTTTATTGTTCGTTAGGAGAACGATAAATTCCTCAAATTGGTGACCCCAACGTGATGTCTCGGCGGCCTCGAACATTTTCGGGAAAATTCCGGCGTCATTTAATTTACATTTCTCAAGAAATAAAAGTTTACAAAAAATTTCTAAACACTATATCGAAAGGTTTGAAGACGATGAGCAGCACAAGTTGAAGGCCTCCTTCTCTATAACGCCCGGCGAAATGTCCATGGAGGATCAGCTCCGAGATTCGGCTGACTGCGACTTGTGAGCAGTTACGTGCGAACGTGCGTTCTATGTCTCCTACCGGTAGTCGCGACGAGTCACGCGCCCGTCGATTTTAGATCATTCTCATGGACGCCGGACGCCGGCGCTTCTGGAGCATTTCGAAGCCTGTACAGTCAGCCTATCTAGTGCCAAGTTATTGCAACACCCGGTTATGGATGCACCCCTTGGGTTATTTACCGATGCATCCAGGGTCCATGTTGGTGCTTGCCTTCAGCAACAAGTGGACGGTGCCTGGAATTCCCTCGCGTTCTTCAGCAGGAAATTGATTCCTCGGCAAGCTCAGTGGCTTGCTTATTATCGGGAATTGCTGGCAGTGTACGAAAGCGTACAACATTTTCGCCACATTTTCGAAGCGCAACACGTAATTATATCAGTATACGGCGACACGTTGCTGCGTTCAGTGCCAGAGAAGTAAGGTAAGGTATCGTGGCTTGTTAAATCACCTGTTCGTCGGTTTGATCAACCTATCAGTCGATTCCGTCATTTGCATATCGACATCATCGGCCCACTTCCATGTTCTAATGGTTTTAGTTATTATTTGACTGCCATGGACCGTCCCACGCGGTGGCAGTCGTGTCCGCCATCTTGGATTTAGAAATAAATGCTATTCTCGTAATAAGCACCCCCAAATACCTCGGAAACGACACCCAACTTGCCATTATTTGAAAAATCGTGCCCGCCATCTTGGATTTACAAATTAGAAAAGTCTTATCTGCCATCTTGTATTCAGATATAAACGCCATTTCCTTATGGTTTACCAAAAATAAATTTTTGAAAATTCTTGTCAACCATCTTGGATTTAGAAATTAATGCTACATTCGTAATAAGAACTCTCAAACTCCTCGAAAACGTCTATAATTCTCAATCGTTATTGTCGATCGACAATGTCAAGCAAATCTGTAGGCACCTTAATAAATACTACCCAAGTTTTATTTATCTCATATATGTACAAAAACCTACAAGCGAGTTAAACTCGCTACGACTATATAACTATCGAATTTGAATATATAAATAGCTTGATATTATCTGTGGATAAACACATGAAAAGTAAACGATAATAATTCAAATTCAAATTCCAATTAATCTTTATTTCATAGGTAAGCATTATTACACTCGAAATCGTCACAATGGTTAAACTCTACCGCTCATTCGTAAGGCAGAGAAGAATGAGCAAGAAACTCTAGGGGTTGCTCTTTGTAAATAACATTTACAATTATTTTTTTTATTTGAAACATCAGAGATCGAGACTACCTCCATGAGCTAAACGGGTACTACCACGGATTTTTGTCATCCAAGTACGCAGAAGTTGTATAATAACCTTTAGTATAAAGTTTTTGTTTCACTATAGTTTTAAACCTCGTCAAAGGCAAATTTTGTATATCAACCGGAATCTTGTTATAGAAGCGTATACATTGCCCCTTAAATGATTTTTTGACTTTGTGAAGACGACTATCAAGAAAAACTAGTTTATTTCTATTCCTCGTATTAATGTTATGTCTGTCACTATTTTTCATAAAGAAATTACTATTCCTTTTAACATAAATTCCATTTTCATAAATGTACTGTGAGAAATAAGAATGTTAATTTCCTTAAACTTATCTCTCAAAGATACTTTGAGGCCCAGATTGTAAATTGCCCTAACTGCACGTTTCTGCAGGACAAAGATTCTATTGATATTGGCGGCATTACCCCAAAGCAAAATGCCGTATGTCATTAGACTGTGAAAGTAGCTGAAGTAAACCAATCTAGCGGTTTCGATGTCTGAAAGTTTCCTTATTTTTTTAATCGCGTACACTGCAGAGCCGAGCCGTTTTGATAACTTACTTATATGGGGACCCCATTGCAATTTAGCATCTAACGTTATACCTAGAAATACAACTGTATCCACAAGATTCAATCTTTCGTTTCTAACTACAATGTTTGTAACCGTCTCTCTAACATTGGGTAATGTAAATTTCACACAATTTGTTTTTTTCTCATTAAGAAGTAGGTTATTAACAGCAAACCAATCAACTACTTTAGATATAGCATTGTTCACATCGTCGTAGGAACATTGGTGCCCTTTAACTTTAAATAATAAGGAAGTATCATCAGCAAACAATACTATCTCATGTTTTATACCCACCATAAGGCTAGGTAAGTCATTAATATAAACTACAATCAAAAATGGGCCTAGAATTGAACCTTGAGGGACACCCATGCTAATTGCAGACCCTGATGATCTCGTGCCGTTAACATCGACCCTCTGTACCCTACCACGCAAATACGATTTAAGAAGGTCGAGATCACGTCCCGCCACACCATAATGGCGAAGTTTCCTGACCAGTGTATCATGGTGCACACAATCAAAAGCCTTGGAAAGGTCACAGAATGCACCAATAGCATCATGTAAGACTTCCCATGCACCAAATATATGATTAATCAACTCGACACCAGCGTCGGTTGTAGAGCGACCCCGAGTGAAACCAAATTGTTTAGGAGACATTAAGTTATTACTATAAAAATGTGCACACATCTGATTTAGAATATTTTTTTCACATATTTTACTGATAGTTGGTAGTATTGATATACGTCTGAAATTGGTGGGGTCAGAAATACTACCACATTTGAAAAGTGGAATAACTTTACTTTGCTTCATGAGGCCAGGAAAGACACTATATTCAACACATTTTTTAAAGACACAGGCTAAGTAAGGCGCAATACAATCAACTATAGAACTAATTACTCTGACTGAAAGACCATCAAGACAGCAGTATTTTCTATGTTTATAAACTTAAAGGCTTTAACAATATCGTTTGGAAATACATGACGGAACCTTAAATTAGTGATACTACCTGCATTATTTTCTTTTAGTAAGGATTCAGCGGCGGTGGGAGATGAATTTAACGACTTAGTAGTAAAAATTGGAATGTCAGAAAAAAAATTTCAAATATTTTAGCAACTTCTGCATCTGTGTTTACAATTTTGTTATTAAATCTTAGTTGAAAATCTAAGTTACGAGGTTTGACCCTTCCAGTTTCACTGTTTATAATATTCCAAGTCGTTTTTACTACATTCGCGCTGCTTTTTATTTTATAATTTATAAACATTGCTTTGGCTGCAACACAAACACGTTTAAACATTTTCGAATATTTCCTAACAAAATCATTAAAACTGTTACTAGTGTTATAAGTCCTTTCATCGTAAAGATCATAATATAGCCTGTCTACTTTTGTGAATTCCCACAGTCGCCCAATCACTAAATTTCAATGAATTATTAATAGTTATGATTTTGGACCTAAAAACATTAGCACGTTCACTTTTCACTATGTTGAAAACTGAATTATACAATTTATTGGGATCGTTAACGTACGGAATGTCAGTTAGTGTAAGCATTACATTATTTCTATAAGCTTTAAGTTGACCATTATTTATCGGAACACATGTGATATCCTTTTTTGGCATTTTGTCAACAGTTATATTAAAAGTGGCCAATTGACCGCAGTGATCAGAAGTTAATTTATTTATAATAGATTTATTACTAGGTATGGCGTTAGTATAAATGTTGTCTAAACAACTGGCAGTAGTAGAAGTTATTCTAGTAGGCACCAAGAAAAGATTCACAAGATTATAACATTGGAAAAATGATATGAGCCCTCTGCTAGCACTGGAATCATCTAATAAGTTAACCTTCAAGTCACCACAAACAGCAATATATTTATTTGGATTATTTAATTTGCCTAAAACTTCATCTAATCATTTTTCAAATAGTTCGTAAGATGAATGAGGGGGTCTGTACACGTTTAATATAACAAGCCGTTCAAGCTCTACGCAGGATATCTCTATAATCCACTCAATAGATAGGCTCACAATATCTGTACGTTCTTTAAATTTTAAATTATTTTTAATAAGAATTAAAGAGCCGCCATGAATAGCTTTTTCTCTGCTGAACGAACCAGATACACTAATAAAGAACCAGAACCTGAAAGTTATTTATACACGATTTTGGAGAACTGACGATGACTTTTTAGTCAGTGTTAGTTCCCTGAAATAATTTTAGTTAAGAACTTTTGAGTCTGGGCAAGACAATTTTTTAAAATGAGTATGATGAACAAGAATAATGATTTTTTCTTATGAAAATGAAAGCAAATACTAAATATATTCCGTAAAAATAGCTAACGTAAATTCCCTACAATGTTGTTGCGGCGGTGTACCTACATTTGTAGAAATTTTACCTGTATCTCGACGATCGCAAAATTTCTACAAATTTTCTAAAACTTCTCAAAAAATTACGCAATATAATTATTTTGAAACAGAATAGCGAAATGGGGAGAAAAAAATCCGTTACTTTGCGACATTTTCGTAACTTGTTGCAACGAAATTAATTTTCTGTTTTAGTGAATATTTACATAAAAATACAAGTTAAACGCGTTACTTCCTTGTGGAATGTGATAATAGTGTCTATTTTATGTTGGTCTGATCTATTTTTAAACCCATTTACCGCATATTTCGTCATTTTTAGCAAAAATTTTTGACCTGGGTTGCAGTGCAACTTGAACTTGAGCACTGACAGCCCGCCCGCTCATGTAGGCCCTTAGGGTGCCCTACAATTTGCCTCACTTAGCGTGTGCGGGCTAGGTTTCTATGTGTTATTATTCTAGGACCTACCAATAAATGGACGTTGGGTTCGCGCTAAAAAGTATCCGCACCTATAAAAGTTAAGTTAAAATCGTATACAGAGCGTTAATCGCGCATCAGTCTCCGTTTGGTCGACTGACAGCGGAGTTGTCAGTCATGCAGTACCAATAATAACTTGTAAAGATTATTGCAGTGAAGTGTAAAACAGGATTTTGTATCATATTTTCACTAAACGAATATATTGTGTTATCATAGTTATCATTTAAAAGTGTTAATTTGTACTGTTGTATAGTATTTAATTTATACATAAATGAATCACAAATATAAATTACAAAAGCACACAAAATAATCAAATAACTAACTGACCTTTTTCTACACATTGCATGCGCAAAAGATGGAAAGAGACCTATTACGTCAATTTCAAGAGCATATATAAACTTCTTGGTCATTTTCAATTGTTCGAACCACAAGCGATTGAAATATTTAGAAGAAAGAAACTATAGAGTCGCTTTGATTTTAATCTTATTTTTAAAATGATTTTTTATTAAACGTTAGCAATAACTAACAAAATATTATTGTACTCATTTTACGGGTTTTGATGAACCAGAAGTCAGAAAATACATTTGCTGAAATAACGTTAGCTCGACTTTTCATAATGTCAAATGTATTTCTTTTTAGAAAGATTACAAAACAAAAGCCAGTTTTGTCTTTGTGAAAAGCATCAAAATTACGCGAAAGCGTAATGATTTTATTATTTTTATTAAAATTTTAGTAAATTTTAGTTTTGTTCATATTAATTATTATTATTTTATTAGCTAATTTGAATTTTAATTGTTATTTTATTAATTGAAAAATTGTGCCCGCCATCTTGGATTTAGAATTAGTGCCATATTCTTAATGAGCACCCCCAAATACCTCGAAATAGACACGCAACTTGCTATTATTTGAGAAGTAATGTCCGCCATCTTGGATTTAGAAATAAGTGCTATATTCGTAATGAGCACCCCCAAAGAACTCAAAAACGATACCCAACTTGCCATTATTTAAAAAATTTAGAAATGAGAAAAGTCGTGGCCGCCTTCGTGTATTCAGATATAAATGCCATTTCCATAAGGATTACCAAAAATACAATTTTGAAAATTCTTGCCACTTGACGTTGTCGATCGATAGTAACGATCGACAAAATCGAGCATATCTGTACGCACCTGATCGATATTGTTGATCGACAGTAACGATCGACAAAATCGAGCAAATCTGTAGGCACCTTTAACTTAACGATGAGTTAAGCAAGATACAATTTCCCCACTTTTGAGGGAAATGTTATTCTATGGCATCATTATTTGTATATTTGTGTGCGTGCCGACAAACGTAAATACAAGTTACTTATGCCTACATGAATTAGATTTTTGCCTCACTTGTGACAGTTCGTTTGATATGAAACTATCATTGTAATGCATTGTAATGCGTTATTTAAGCGTGACCAACATTCTGGCAATATAGTCAATAGAATATTAATTAAATGCAATGCAATCACTAACTGCTAGCCTTTAGCGAACAGGCAACATTTTGCGATTTTACTAAAAATCGTAATAAAAAATGAGAAAATTGTACTCGCTTACTTGTATCCAAGCCAAAAATCCTATAAAAAAAAGTGTAAGATTGCTATTTGCTTGTCAAAGTTAAATGAATATCGGTCGACGCACAAAAAATGTTGAGTAGCAATGAAAATAATAAAAAGAACGACAAAACACTTAGACCATTGTTTCCTAAACAGGCAGCAGAGTGTTCATATGTGTCTTGTTACTGGTGCGTGCCTTTAACTTTTATTGTTTTAGGTGTACTGTATCAACAAAAACCTTCATTATGGTTTTTGTTCTTTTTCAGTGAGGAAAATGTGTGGAAACTGTGTCAAGACGCGTCGTCGCGAGTGCCTGAGGAAATGGATAGGTGTTTCGTCGTATTCATCTCAAACACGTGCCGTACTGTGCCTTTGTGGAAACAAAGGGCTGGGCGGGAGGACGACCGCCTCGTCATATGGGTGTGTACTTAAATAGCGTCACATTACATATTGCTTGTATGTAAAAGATTTGGTGATGTTATGTATAAAATTTCAGGACTATCATGTAATATTCTTATATTCTTGGGATGCCAAGACATGTCTTGTGTATGACTTGGATTCTGAGCTGCCTTTCCCAACTTTCTTCCACAAGTATGTGACAGAAACATTTCGCACAGATCAAGTATTGAAGTCAGATTTTCACAGGTAATTAGACATATACTTAATATTGTGAAGTGATATTTATTTATTCTTACAAAAACAAAAAAATTGTACCTATTAATTAACTGCAATTTTCTAGATTCTTCCGGGTAGTACCTGCTAAGCAGTTCTTACAGCATTTTGCATCTGATCGGCGTCATATGAAGAGACCAGATGGCTCTTGGATAAAACCTCCACCACCTTATCCAGCCATAAGCACTTCTTGTAAGTTTTTCTAATATTTTCATATGTGTTTTGTTAATGCAAGATAGAAAAGTTCTTCCTTTTCACTAAATCATTTTTCATGTCAATGTTATGCAGTGTAAAATTTGCCAGCCTGTGACTACTGCAAGTTCATTGCCAAATTTTCGAACATAACTGTAACTAGGTCTTTAATGTGACAATTACAATCGAAAATATATAAATAGCTAGACATGCCATTAAATCACACTTCATTTTTGGGTTGTATAAGCTGTTGAGAATATGATATACTTCCATACATTATTCGAGCCACTTTGCATTTTCAGTATTAAATACATTAAACGTAAACAACATTTGATTGTACAAAAACTATTGTGTAATTTTGAAACTGGTATAAATGTATATCCACAAGTTCTTGATGAATAATTTCGCCATGCCCGGAGAACAAAAAGATAACTGCCATTATCACAGTTTTAGTGTTATATCATATTTAAAATCTTTAGGTGCCAATCAGTGTTGAGCGTTAATAAATTAAATTTCAATCAGATTAAAAAATCAATTCAATGCAATTGATTTCAATTGAATTCATTTTAATTGCAACTAAATTAATTGCAATTAATTTTTTTAGTTGTTCTAAGAAACAATTGAAATTAACAATTAAAACCGAAAGTACCGAATTGTCATTACGAATATGGGTTAATAATTAAACTGGGGTTCGGTTGGGGGGTCGGTTGGGGGGCCGGTTGGGCGGCCGGTTGGGGGACCGGTTGAGGCGCCGGTTGGGAGGCGGTCAGCGGTGAATGACCTACCCCCTAACCCAACCCACCCACACACCCGCTCACCCACCTACTCACCCACCCACTCACCCGCTCTCCCATCTATTTACCCACCCACTCAAATCCACTCACCCACCCCCAAACCGACCACCTAACCCACGCCCTAGCTCACCCGCTGACCTACCACCTAATCCAACCCTAACCCACACCCTAATCCACCCTAACCCTCCCCTTACCCATCCTCTAACCCACCCCCTAACCCACCTCTTGACCCAACCCCTGAACCGTCCCCTAAACCACCCCTAACCCACCTGCTGACCCACCCTCTAATCCACCCCTAACTTACCCCCTAAACCCCTATCCAATCCCTAACTCACCCTCTAAACCACCCTTAACCCCCCAACCCAGACCCTAACTCACCCCCATATGCCCTATAAATTTATCATAATTGTCAGTTTTCATTGTTAATTGTTAATCAAAAACATTGAAAAGATTGAAAATTGATTAATTGTTAATTGTTATTAATTGCTGTTTCGCAATTGACAATTAATTGATTGTCAATCTTTAATTGCAGGAACAATTAAATTTTGCCCAACACTGGTGCCAATACATCTTTTCAATTTTTTTTCGTGATTTTTAAGCATTTACTTACAGAATAACAAAATAATACAATTACAGAATAACAAAATAATACAATATTATTCAAATTTTCTACCCATGCCCAAATGCGCAAGAATAAGGTTATATTAAGATAATATTAAACTAAATGAGTTACGTTTCTTAATATGACAAATGACATTAGAATTTTGTTCTTGTAAAAATAATTATGCGGAATAATGAGTTTCGTTGTAACAGCAGAATAAAAAGCCTTCCCAATAAAATATCCTACTATGTTTACGAGAATAAGATGATATGTAATTATTATCTTCGCCACTTGTACTACTGCAACCCGTAGAATAAGTGAATGGTGCGATACTTGTTTTCGGCTCGGACACAACGAGAATAAAATGATAATCTACAATGTAAATCCAACATGATATTGATTTTGACTAATTATTTATTTTGGCATAACTTACGGCTGCTTAATTTATTATATAGAATGCACAAAAAATATTCTTTCTTGAAGCTAAACTATTAATCTACCTACGTTCAGTATTTAAGAACTTATCAACGAAAACGTGGTTTTTATTTTTCCTGAAATATTACTTTATTGCGATTATCATTTTGTTCTCTGGGGATGGCGATTTAAATTTGTATAACTGAGAATAACTTTTTTTTAATAACACTACTTGTGTACAAGACCTCTAAGAATAAAATTATGCAAGGTGACTTGAATTATGTGTCCAGTAGCATATTATAATCCATATTCATATTCTTGAATTCAATATTTTTTGATAGTATGAAAGACAGAACTTGTAAGTTTGCATTTAAAACTAAAATGCTTAGAGATACTCTGCTTATTTCCTATAAATCTGTTTTTACAGCTTCATCACATAACTTAGATGAGTACATCAACATGGACATCGGCACAGGTCCAGGACAAGTGTTCACTCTCACAGAATTTGTAAAACGCTTTTACAAAATAGACAAGTAGTACAAAGAGGAGGCTGTTAGATAGTTAAATATTACTTTGAGTTCAGTTTCATGATTCCTAATTTATGTTGATTATGTTTTAGTAATCTTTAGTATGGATATTGTTGAACTTATGCCTGTTTTTGTTTTATTATGATCATTGTTCTTCTACACATACTATTATCAAATTGTCCTGTCTACCAATAATCATAGTCTCTTTCCATCTGTACTAAACATCCAAAAAATGAAGTTTCTTGTCTGCACTTGACATATCTGACTAAATGAATGACAGTCTGTAGACATTACGAAGTACAGCACATTCAAAGTGCCCTATGACCACATTACCATTGGATTGTTATTTGCTATAGTCTCAATGTTGTCATTTTTAGACCTCGAAATACAATATTTTTTTGCAATAGTCTATACAAAGCCAATGTGTTGTTGCAAAGTGTTTTAAATATGTTGGACAATTTATTTTTTAGTGATTTTTTTATCAACTAATTTAATAAAAAACATCTCTACTGCACTTGTATGTATTTTTAATAACACAAGTGTGACTACATATTTTTAAAGCACAGGATGCATTCTTCTGTCCACTTAGAATGCCTACACATGCCATGCTTTGCACTATACAATTTTGAACTTCCTTCTTCAATTTTGAAATCTAAGAATATTTTTTTTTATTTTGTTTAATTTTTAATTTATATCAAAAATATAAAATACATAATTATATAACATGGAATTCTTCAGAGCTGTATTTGATTTTTCCGCAATACTCATGACATACATTTGTTCTAACTCTATAATAATGTATAATTCTATTCCCTTTGACAGTTAGCTAATGCTGATATTGGTATCTATTGCACACATTTCACAAACCAGACTTTAGACTTGACCATTTAAAAATAACATTCTTGTCCCTTTCAAACCAATAAGCACAGGATTACTGTAATTTTAGATTTGTCAAAATAAGTCTAGGTTTAAAAATATGTGCCATAGAACATACCATTAGATAGTTAAATTGTAAGATTAGAAAATCGATAGCCTAGTGCTTGAAAATATTTATAACATTTTCAATTTTAAGGCGAGTCATGTATGCATAGTGTTTTTGAATGTTCTTCATATTTTTCTATATTTATCGTTTGTTGTCAAGTAGTGTTTTACTGTAGTGATATTTTATTCTCATTTTGAAGTGATCCTTGTTTATGGATTGCATGTTATCTTGAGTGATATAATAACATTTAAGTACCTTTACAGTGGTGTATATGGTGGCAAAGTAGCTTTTGTATGTTGTTAAAATTTCAAAATAATTTTGTATCAACTTTTATACACCTTTTTTAACCTTCCTTAGCACCATTTAGCCAACTGACGTGAATTGTCCCAATTGTAATTAAATGTAACTGCATAAGCAAAAATATTTTTTAACATTGTTAAAAAGTTCCCAAATCATTTTTGTATGTTAATTGTTATGTTGTCATCTGTTTAAAACTGTGTTTTATTATATTCCATCAAATTAGTCACAGTAAGATATATGAGCAGCTTGTTCTGAAAGCTTATGAAATAAGAGGTAAATATATACATATATATATTTACACACAGTATACATGCTGTCTCTAATTTCACAAACTTCAGATTAAGTAACTGGCTCCCCAACAACTGCGGCATAAATGTTATGTTATCTAATTTATACTTAAATATTTGACGAATTTTTGCTATATATCAAATGTTTATAGCTACTACTTAAATTCTTAAATTTTATCGAATCCTAATTATTTACTCATACATGCAATTTTGCAAAATGTATTTTCTCCTATCTCTATGACCCAAATATAAGAATTACATTTAAGATTTTATTATTGTAACATAGATTAGGGTATTGTTCTACAACCAGCACAAAGTTCCAACACTTTGATACTAAACTTGTATTCCTAATGTATTGTGTAATGTTTGCATTTATTAATTTGATATGATTTTTGCAGGGTTTTAAACGTATTATCTCAGTGTTCAATACTAGTCAATGTATTAATTAGTTTACCAATATCTTTTTTTACTTTGTAGTAATTATAAATAAGAAAGGGAAATAATAAAGGTTCCGAAAAACCAATGAAATTATACGAACTGTGGCTAACTGTAATACTAACTAAGCTTCGTGACTACTAAAACAAGTTACTGAAAAATAACAAACAATAAAGAAGTTATTAATTCTTCCGACTAATAAACTATTTTCGAATAATATACTAAACTTTCCAAAGAAAAGCTAAGTTACCGATGTTATATCCTATGGATTGGCGTGTCGCTTACCATCAGGTACACGACTATATGAACCGTCACTTAGGACCATAAAAAAAAATGTCACTCATATTAGTAGGTATTTCTGTATGATGGGATAGTTTAACAAGCACCAGAAATTTTGAAATGTATATGGTCGCTTTGAAATTTATAATAGGTGATTTACGATAAACATGGCTAACAATAGTTTTCGGTAAGAAGTAAATTAAGTTGGTCGTACATATAAATATTTAATTCTGTTGTTTTCGTATTTTATTTGCACAAAAGTTTTCGGGAACTTAGCAAATAACGCAGTAATATTCATATTTTGAATAAGCTCATTTTTATATTTACTTTTCAGAGCTTTTATTACTACCCAGTAAAAAGAATATTTGTAACAATATGTTGGTATTCATGGTTTACATTCAATTTTGTTGTTGTCGACGAACTATACAATTATCTAAATTCTAGTCTCTAATTCCTCTTCTATCTTTAAGGGCATTTGCCATATTAGCATTTATCGTCCGAGGCGTAGCCGTATGCAATAAGGGACCAAAGTAAGTGAATAGATGAGGTTGTACCCAGTGTCGAATGATTTCAACTTTACCGGGGCTGTGTCCCCCGCCGGTTACGCCTTTGTCCACTTAAATATTAATTCCCACTGTTACAGTTTCGATCGATACCTTCCTTCTACGCCTTTAAATTTTATCTATTGACTGAAAACTATGAGTGATAATTATTGTGCTTGTGCTTTTAATGTACCAAGTTACATGTTTTAATTTAATGTTTATCAAAGCTAATAAAATAAACACCACACGCTATTCTTATGTTTTATTGGCATTATATATGCTTATTTGTTTATAAATAATAATATGAAATAAATTAAGTTTGAGTGTTATGTATGTATATTGTAAATAGAAAAACTGTTGGTAAACTTCATTACCACGAACACACAATACAATACATAACACAATTATCTACAAAATTGTATTTTAGGTCTTGACATTAAAATATCAATAATTATTTGGTAAGTATTTCTGCTCCATTTTCAGTGATAAGTATCGTATGTTCAGCCTGTGCGGCACGCGAGTCGTCCTCGGTGACGACCGTCCATCTGTCTTCTAGCAATACCGTTAATTCACTTCCGTGAGACAGAACAGGCTCTACAGTGAATGTCATGCCAGGTTGCATGAGACCAGGGTATCTATTTACTGTATACCGATCGACTGAAACATGTAATATTATTACGTATTATTTTATGATCATTTCACGTTTCGTATAAAATTCACATAGAAACTGAAACTTGCGAATTATCAAGCAGAAATAGCTATGCGCTTGGTAATATATTTGTACAGGCGTAACACGATTAACTGTTCTGACTTACTCTGTACAAAAAGCTTATTAAGGAACTAATTTCCAAACTTCAAATAGAGCAACATTTGCTCTGAAATATAATATTGATGGTTGTCCCAACTCTAACAATATACTATGGAAACGCAGTGTCGCATTATTATAATTTGTATACTGTATACATATGATTTAGTACACATCCGTCATACTCCAGTTTCGTCAGAAATAGTCTTTCTCATGATTTCAGGTCGTTAGTCAGGAATGACGAATGTGGACAACCGATCGGATCGAATGGCATAAAAAAAAAGTTTTGTAAAAATTGCCTTTTATCTTGCTGACTTTACCATTTTTTCAAAATCTGTGAATGCCAATCAAAATATCTTCAAAATCCATAGATAGTCTTCTAGGACCGTTTTCCTGTAACTACAACGATTAAGGTAGCTGGCTTTGCTGCCCCGTCTCCAATTTACACCTTGTATAGACCAAAAATAAAGGAAAAGGCCGTATAGGAGGGATCATTGGAAGATGCTCCACCGACAAGAGTATAAATCTTAAGTTAGATGATGATGAAATAGAAACTGGTAATTTGAGATACACCCGCCATTCTGACTGGATAAATCGTCAATATGGTGGGTG